TATGTCCTGGTTATCTCAGTATGGTTGGTATTAATTACAGATGATGGAAGAAAAGTTACCTGCATGTGGGTAGGTCTTGTAGCCATATTCCCTTAGTTTTTCTTACATAGCTGGGCAAGTTTCAGTATGAAATCGGTGGATTAAAAAGTAGTCCACCTTACCCTCTGTAGGGTAGTTAACTAATGCTGACTCCTTGTCTGGGGGATACACTTAGAATAACCTTGCTGGTCTCATCGGCTTAATTAGATAAACTGGAATGACCAAATATATACAAGAGTTTACATTGGGTCCCCCACTTGATAAAGTGCAGGTTATTTAATTCTGCTTCTATCTTGACTAATTTTACGTTGCTCTGTTTTCAAGTACATTAATTTTTTTTCCCTGGAAAATCTATTGTTCCGATATAATGTTTTTTTTTTCTTCTCACACATTACAGTTTTTCATATACCAGTTTGATTTAGCACATTTTTTAAAAACATATTTAGCCAGAGCCAGGCAGTGGTGGCACATTCTGTAAGTCCCAGCGCTGAGGCAGAGGCAGGCTGATCTCTGTGAGTTTGAGGCCAGCCTGATCTACAGAGTGAGTTCCAGAACAGCCAGAACTGTTGTTACACAGAGAACCCCTGTCTTCAAACACCCCCCCCCCAAAAAAGATATTTATCCAGGTATAGTGGGTGCATGCCTTTAATTCCCAGCATTGGGAGGCAGAAGCAGAGGCAGGCAGAGCTCTGAGTTCCCTGTGTTCTTTCCACCATTTCTGTCTCCATACTTAGGAAGGAAGGACCCTGTGTTCTCTAATCAATCTTTAATCTGATTGGTGGCCTTTTGTGAGTTCTCTAATCATGTGACACTTCTTTTTCTGGATTCTGGTAGTTTCCTAACATACACAAAGTACTAATTAGTTTTCTTGTGGCCATTAGAGATGAGGATGGCACCAGGTTTTCACTCCTTACGTTGAGGCCTGAATATTTAGGAAGGAAGTTGATTGTTCTTCACCGACAGTGTCCAGTATTGAGAGACCTAAGGTTATATATATATATATTTGTAACATACCTTTGATCCCAGCAGCACTGGGGAGGCAGAGGGAGACAGATCTCTATGAGTTTGAAGCCAGCCTGGTCTACATAGTGAGTTTCTGGCCTGCCAGGGTTATGTAGTGAGACCCTGTCTCAAACAAAAGTTTCAAAGAAGAAGGTAAACGTTTGCCTGTCACTGTTGACAAAGGGAAGGCCATTTCCTAGATTTGATTTTTCTTTTATTCTGTGTGTGGATACATGTGTACAGGTGCATATGCACATGCATGACAGTGTGTGTAGAGGCCAGAGGTCAGTGTTAAATATTTTCTTCAATGGTTCTCCATCTTATTATTCTTTAATAGACTATATTTTAAAATAAACTTTATAATAAAAAACTTGCAAATAAAATAAATATTACACCCTGAAGTTAAGGAGACCCAGAGTCTGTACAACTCAGTGAAATTCTTCTGTACAGTGAGAATAGGCATTTGAATAGAAACTGTGGAGCTTCACATTAGATTTTAAACTTTCAGATTTTAAAATATATTTTACGACCTTATCCACAATCAAAAAAGAATTAGAACTAGAGAAAACGATTAGCTTTATACCCTCTCTCATAACTCATGTCTTTGATAACTGAATCCCCCATCAGTCCCATATTGTCTAATATTGAGCCTTCCTTGGCTCTTCTTTGTGTCATGCTGTATCCACATGTGCGTTTGTTTACACACATACATGTATTGTTGGCTGGATCCCTCATAGGAGAGAGAACATGCAAGTTTTTTTTTCCTGATATTGTGTGGCCTTACTTAATATTATATATTCTAAGTTTGTCCATTTGTCTGCAAATTTGGTTTTTTGAGACAGGGCTTCTCTGTGTAGCTTTGCACCTGTCCTGGATCTCGCTCTGTAGCCCAGGCTGGCCTCGAACTCACAGAGATCCGCCTGGCTCTGCCACCTGAGTGCTGGGATATAAAGGCGTGTGCCACCTGGCTTGTCTGCAAATGTTTAAACTTTCATTTTTTCTTTAGAGCTGAATAGTACTCATATTTTCCCCCCAAATTCCCATTATCTGTTCATTTGCTGATGGGTTAATAGGTTAGTTCCAAATCTTTGCTAAAGTGAATGAACCAGCAATGAACTTGGAAGTGTGAATATCTCTATGGGAGGGTATGTCATTCTCTGGGTATATGCTGGATCATATGGTAGTTCTTTTTTTAATTTTTTGAGAAATATGCAAACTGATTTCCACAAAGGTTGTATTAATTTCCACCCCCACTGACAGTGAGTACGTGTTGTCAGATTTGTTGATGACGGACAGCCATTCTACCTGGGTAAGATGGTATCTCATAGTAGTTTTAATTTGCATTTCCCTGACGGTGAGGGGTATTGAATACTTTAAAAAAATAATTATTGGTCATTTGTATTTCCTAAAACAAAACAAAACAAAACAAAAACCATCTATTCAGTTAATTTACCCATTTGTTGATTGACAGTTTTATTTCCATAGTTTTTGATTTCTACAATTCTTTGTAAGTTCTGAATATTAGCCCCCTGTCTGAAGTGTGGCTGGTAAAGATTCTCCCACTGTGTGGGCTGCTGTGTGGGCTGCTGACTGTGTCCTTGGCTATATAGAAACTGATTCTCATGTAATCAATCCCACTTGGGCTGAGTCCCTGTGCTGTGTGTTCTATTTGAAAGTCCTTTTTAACTAACCCAGTATCTATCTTGATGGGTATCCCCATGTTTTCTTCAAGTTTTCAGTGTTTCTGGTCTTAAGGTCTTTGGCCCATTTTGAATTGATTTTTTTTTTTTTGTACAAGATGAAAGATACAAATTTAATTTCGTCTTCTGTAGGTGGAAATCCAATTTTACCAACACCATTTGTTGAACAAGTTCTTCTTTCCAAAGTATGTTTTTACTTCCTTTGTCAAAAAATGAACTTGGTTTTTAGCTTTGCCCTCTTACCTGCAGGTCCTCTAGTCTGGTCTGCCTGTGGTGCTATGTCAGCACCAGGCTGTCTTTATCACTACGGCTCTATAGGATAATTGGAGGTTGGGTTTTATAATACCCCAATAATACTCTAGGTTCCATAGGAATTCTGGTATTTTCTCGAAACCTGTGAAATATGGCACAGAAATTTTGGTAGATATTTCATTGATTCTGTAAATTAAGTCTATAAACATTTTCAGAATGTTACTTCTGCTATCCCAGGAAAATGGACTCCACGCGCTGAGCAGATTTGATATAGTCCAGTGGCTGTCGTCAGAGCTTTCGGTTTATTTTTAAGATGTTTGCCCAGGTTGGGCATGATGGTGGCGCATAGAGCCATAATCTCAGGGCTTGGGAGGTTGAAGCAAGGAGGATTGCAACTTCAAGACCAACTGCATTGTGAGACCGTCTCAAAAAACAAAGAGGAAGGGGAGGGTGGAAGGTACATTTGGGTGCTTACATAGATGTTTTGCTCCACACCCACTGCCCCCAACACTTAGATCCGTGTTCCACTTGGAATTTTCCTCCTTTTAAACATTTAATTAGAGGCAGGAGTGGGGAAGATGTCCATGCACACACATGTGTACAGGTCTGAGGACAGCTTTTGGGAGTCTGTTCTCTCCTTTTACCGTGAGGTTTCCGGGATCAAACCCAGGTTGTCAAACTTGGCAGCAAGTGCCCTAGCCCAGGGAATCATCTTGCCGGTCCCTGGAATTGACTTCTGTCAATAGTGTGAGGTTGAGGGTCACAGTACGTTGTTTTCCATAGGGATACCCTAATTGCCTGACATCTTTTTAATGCATTCTTTTCCATAGAGATACCCTAATTGCCTAACATCTTTTTTTTTTTTAAAGATTTATTTATTTATTATGTATACAGTGTTCTGTCTGTATGTATCCCTGCATGCCAGAAGAGGGAGCCAGATCTCATTACAGATGGTTGTGAGCCACCATATGGGTGCTGGGAATTGAACTCAGGACCTGTGGAAGAGCAGCCAGTGCTCTTAACCTCTGAGCCATCTCTCCAGCCCCTAACATCTTTTTAATACATTGTTTTCCATAGAGATACCCTAATTGCCTAACATCTTTTTAAGACTCTTCTTTTCCAGTTGCATTGCAGTATTATCTCTGTTATAAACCAGTTAGCATGACTGCTATAGAATCTATTTTCCATTTGTTATTTATTTAGTTTAGGAGTGGGGATGGATGGGTAGGTGCATGCATGCTGTGGTGAGGCTGCAGAGGCCAAAAGGAAACTCTTGTGAGAGAAAGGATGCATCACTACAGTATGTTTCAAAAATCAGAGTCAGTAGTGTTTGTAAGGAAAAGACTTAATTTTATAGATTTTTTTTTTCAGGTGAATCTCCAGCAATTTAAATAACCTACCCAACATCTTAAAGATAATTAATGGGACACTTGAAGCTAAAATTTGAGACTTTGTGTGTCCAAAATAATGTTTTTTTTCTTGGATATGATAAAGGTGTACAAGTGTGCTCGTTATTCCAGACTGTTTTAGGTTAGGTGAGCTACAGTGAGTGGTAAGTGTGCTTACTGCACAGACGTCGAGGACCTGAGCTCAGTGTAAAAAGCCAGGCATTTCTGCCTGTGTCTGTCCTCCCGGTGCTGAGGGGCACATGCTCTGTCTCCACATGCTGATATGGAGACAGGCAGCTCTATCTCCACATGCTGATATGGAGACAGGAGGGTCCCTGGGGCTTGCTGGCTGCCAGCCCAACAACAACAACAACAACAACAAAAACGGTACTGTGGGAAGGGGATAAAGTGGGAAGCAATAGAGGCGGGTGCTCAGTGTCTTCCACATACATGATCATGCACAGGTGTGTGCAGCCTCACACATGTACATGTGCACCATCAGCACCTGCAGACACACAAAATGAAGAACTGTTTTCTGAGTGTTATTTAAAACATTTTGTGTTTATGTTGTTGAGAATATTCTCTTACTATTTGAATTTCCTATTTTTATTTTTTATAGAGTTGGAAAATATTTAACTCTCAACAAATGAATTCCACACTTGAACTCTGCCGTATTCCTGTGCCACCTCCTCCTTTAGAAAACTGATCTTAAGACAGGTAAAATTATGACCTTAACTTTTTAAAAGATGAAGAATAAATTTCCCATATGATTAAACATTTTAAGAATTTTTGGTAATCTTTGGTGAGCAGCTTTATTTATTATACAGTTTTACCTGAAATGATCATATCTTATTACCTTTGAATTCAATTTTTGAATTATTTGCATTTAACAAATGTATTATCTGAATTCCACTTCTGTTTAGTTAATTTATTCAGCACAATTGTGCTGTCAGGTTCATCTGCATCACTGTTGTCCAAAGCAACGTTTGTGACCATGGCTGTGTTCTTTTTCTGTTCTCTCTGATGTGGGAAAATAACCACATGTAGGTTCTGAGTATTTGAAATGTGGCTAGAGCAAGAAACCTGCTCTTCCAGGGTTTGTTAATGACATGCAAAATACATGCAATCAAGGCCAGGTGTTGTTTTGTTTGCCTGTAATCCCAGCACTTCAGAGTTCAAAGGTCATCCTTAGCTCCTCAGAGAGGGGTTTGGAAGAGAAGAGAGAGCCCAGATACTCATTCCCAAATCTACTGTGCTTTGACCCATGATCCTGCACACGTCCCCACAATTCCACCGTTTTCATAGAAAACTCATGCCAAGACACGTCAAGAGAGAACGGAGAGTGAGCACAGTCACTTAGCTGGACCTACCCAGGAGGGCAGTTGGTTGGAACTCAGAAATGGCTGACAAGGGTATGTCAGTGAAAGCCTCGTATTGACAAGGTTCAGAATCGGGACAAGGCACAAGAACACTTGCAAAGATGGTGCTCGTGCTGCGTGGAGTCTGACCACCAGATCCGTCATCCTGGTGAACAACAGCTGGTGTGGTTTACGATGTCTCCAGAATGGCTGTAGGCAAGGGGGCCCAACGCCGCCAGCCTTACACCCATCCAGTGAAAACTGAGGCGATCCAGACGGGGATCTGCCATCACAGAACCTAGCCGTCACGTGTTGCGGACTTGAGTGTGACTGTTGTAGGGAGTAGACTCACGGGTTCAGAATTCGCCTGGTTGTGTCTGTATTCCTTTACCATCTCCCCACCCTGTGAGGAATAATGAACTTGGTTGAGAAGGTGTCATAAGTTAGTTCTGTGTCTGTGAATCCACGTGAGGAGAGCAGGATAGCCAGCATTACAGAAAACACTGGTTTTCGGAGTATGCGACAGATTGCCTTATGGAGTGAAGTCGTCAAAGACAGTGAAGCTGTCCAAGGGGCATTCTATTAGATCGTAGATCCTACAGCTGCCCGCCCCCACCCCCTCTCTGTCTCTCTCTCAGAAATCAGACCATGGCCCCTTACAGCTGACAGGCCCCTGCGATGAGGTCTAGAGCACACAGGTCTTGGAGAACAGAGGAGGCGATGGATGAGTAAGCTTAGCCCTCCCTCTTGAAGCTACAAGGTAAATTTACCCAGTATCTGGACCATTAGCACATAGGCTGTGCCAGACTAAATCATACTAAAACTTCTGATCGTCCTGAAAACCTAGAAAAGGCAGGAAATCCTGTTGTTCAGGGGATTTGTCTAAAGGACATCTTTCTCCTTCAGCTCCCCACACATACACACCCCACCCTGTCCCACCCCCACATGTTACCATCTCTCTTCCTTTTGTACTCTAATCTGTCTTTCTTAATGAAGCTCCTCTCTAGGACTTGTAAAAACATGTATTAATTTATTGCCGGCAGGGGTGGGGTGTGAGCCCATTATGTGCTGATGTGGAAGTCACAGTATGTGGAGGCAGCCTTCGGGAGGCAGTTCTCCCCTCCACCGTGGGGTGTTAGATCGGACTCAGGACATCAGGCCTGGCAGCAAATGCTTTACCCACGGAGCCGTCTCTCTGGCCCTCCCTCCAGGTTTTGAAAGGAAACCGCCCTCTCCCTCCAAGGCCCTGCCATTTGTCTCTGATGTGTCTCTATCTCTCCTAATTAAACTCTTATACTGAGGACTGGTCATGAAGCTGGGCGTGGCGGCGGCGCACGCCTTTAATCCCAGTGCTCAGGAGGCAGAGGCAGGCAGATCTAATTAAATAAAATACAATGGACCTTATTTTTAATACATAACTAAAGATGTTAGACTACCCTCAATTGCAATCACTTAATAGTTGATCATATATTTGTTTCCAGGCTTTTAAAAAAAGTAAACTTTAATTGGATTATAATTTACAGACTTACTCAGTTTGGTTTTGCTAGTTAGACATTTTTCCATTTAGAAAAATTAGGAATCTGCTTTGTTTTGCATAATGCATATACTGCTGTTAGTTTGACAACTATATGGCCCTTGCTTTTTCTAGATTTGATGTGTATATTTTGTTACAAAGTTTGTTCTGTCGTGTATAACTTGCTCTGTGTATTTGTCTTCGATAATGTAATTTGGTTTCACTTGACCGCTCCGTTTTTCAGCATTTTGTTTTGTTGATACGGGGTCTTGCCATGTAGCACAGGCCTGTCTTAGAATTCACTGCATAGCCCAAGTTGACCTCCACTTCTCAATCCTCCTGTCTCCGACTCTCTGGTCCTGAGATTATAACTATATCCACTTAAAGGACACCTTCTTTGCCATTTTAAAGTGGGGAAATGTGAAAGCATAAAGATGGGGTTCCTGATGTATCATTAAAAATAGGGTTTATTTTTGAACAGTTGTAATTGCACTCCAAACGGAGCGGAAGCCTCTATCTAAATACAGACTAGATGAGTCTCTTGGCTAGTGAGATGGACACATGATGCACCTCTGGTAAGCTCTAGGTACTGCTGTCTTCGGGTTCATTTCTTAAACTTGTGCCTTAGGTAAAGAAGACTGGAGGGAAGATGCTGGGGTCCGAGCGGGCAGTCGTGGAAGAGTGGCTGTCAGAGTTCAAGGTACCGTGTTCTCCGCAGATGCTCCTCTGTCGGTGCTGCTTCAAGTGGAAAGAAAAGGAATTGTCAGGATGGAAATATATCCAGGAGATGACGGGATCTTCACGTCTAATAATAATATTTGCTCCCTGCTTTGGTTTCCTGTGATTAAAAGTCAGATAGTTTCAAATGAAAACTATATTATGGATGCGTATGAAATGTGTTTCGTAAAAGCGTAAGTGCAGGAACTGAAATGTAGCCTGCTCTCTTTCGGGCTAGGTTACTTTAAAGAGCCCTGTTTCTGTGAAGTCTAGTATGATATGTAACTTGTAATTATTTTTGTGGCTCAGCAATTATTTGTAGGTTAATTACTTGATTATATTAATTACTTTAAATTTTCTTATTTGACTCTTATTTGACTCAAGTAGCACTCACTCATGTAAAAGAAATCGTCTCCTAAATGCTAAACTCACTTTGCTGTCTGTCCTTCGGCTTCACCTAGGCGTTACCTGACACTCAGATCACCAACTATGCAGCGACTTTACACCGGAAAAAGGCGCTGGTCCCCGCACTCTATAAAGTTATTCAGGACTCCAACAACGAGGTAGGAAGAAGTAGAAAGGACGTTCTAGCTGGTTAGATGGAAGCTGTGCTGGAGTCGCACAGTGTGAGCGTGTGGTTCCTGTCCCTGTGACTGGAGAGCTGCTTCCCTCCGCACTCGGGTAGTTGCTTTGCCTTCCCCACCCCGTCTTCCTGCCTGTGAAGAGGCTTGGGTCTGTTTCCTGGTGGAGGTGGTGTGCTTTGAGTCTCAGCTGCAGTCACCTCATCTCAGTGGAGTCTTTATTTAATGTTTATTTTTTCTTTGTGTTCTGGAATGTTCCTTCTCTGGAAAACCAATTTTAACAGTACACTGGGTCAGCTTTCTTTATGTTAATATCGTTTACTCTTACTTCTTAATACTGCAGAGATATTTATAAGCAGCACTCTCATCAGTTGTAAATTGATAACACAATTATGCTGTTTATTGTTTACCTGAAAATTATCCAAGGAAGTGCTTTTAAAGATCTAAGTAGCAAAGATCAATAAACTTAGAATAACAGTTCACTGTTACTCACTCTGTGATAGAAGATAGTAAATACAGCACCTGAATCTATATGGTAACTTTGGCCAGATACACAGTATTTTTGCATTAACACAGTCGTGCAATTATAATTTAATCCACTGGAGTCATGTATGCTTTAACATGAAAATGAAAGGACCACACAGGAAAGTAGCTTCTTTCTTCCCAGATACAGCCTCCAAGAGTGCCTCTGCTGTGTACTGCAGCGAGCTGAAGAAGTGACCGCCAGGTAACCGTCTCCTAACCAGCAGCCTAACTGAGAGTGCAGCTTTGTGTCCCCTCACTAAAAGCTTGCTTCTTGACCTCTTCCTCCTGTCTCCTGTCTTTGGACTGGCTCTCAGACTTGCAGCTGCTGCTCTTCCTAGCAGTGGCTGCAAGGTGCATTTGCTGCTGCTTCTCCTGCCATGTATTGCTGAATTGTTAAAACTTGAGACATGGGCTATGTGTGAGTGTAGATAGATATACACACTCATACACACATATCTATAGTCAGGAGTATTTGAAATGTTCTAAATGATAAATGTGTTTATACCCTACCCCTAATCTTGCACTGTCCTAACATTTAAGCTTTGCTTATTAAAAATTATTTGTTTTAGCCGGGCGGTGGTGGCGCACGCCTTTAATCCCAGCACTCGGGAGGCAGAGGCAGGCGGATCTCTGTGAGTTCAAGGCCAGCCTGGTCTACAAAGCGAGTTCCAGGAAAGGCGCAAAGCTACACAGAGAAACCCTGTCGAAAAAACAAAAAAAAAAAAAAAAAAAAAAAAATTATTTGTTTTATACTTTTCTCTTTAGATTGTAAGCTCTTCATGGGCAGTGGTCATATATTCTATAATTGTTACTTCCAGAATGCAACATTTTATCGCGTATGTAATGAATATTTAATAAATATTATGTGCTTGGGATGTGGCTCAGGAGTTAAGTGTAAATAAATAAGCAGTAAACATTGATTAGAAAATTATTTTACAGGTTAGAGAGATGGCTCAGAGATTAAGAGCACACAGGCAGCTCTTCCAGAGGTCCTGAGTTCAATTCCCAGCAACCACATGGTGGCTCACAACCATCTATAATGAGATCTGGTGCCCTCTTCTGGCATGCAGGGACATATACAGGCAGAACACTGTATACATAATAAATAAATAAATCTTAAAAAAAAAAAAGAAAAAATTATTTTACAAAAAGATTCTAGTAGTGAAGATTTCGTACTCAAAAAATAAGGAAAAACTTAAGACTTTTTAAAAATTATTCAGACATTTTGTATTATCATGCTTTATAATAACACATGAGACAAAGTCATGGTTAAAAATGGAAATGGTAGCTTGAGAAATTCAGGTTCAAGACTTAGCATTCACTGTCATTATGAAGTTGTGAGGACAGGTCTGGGTTCCATCCTTACTATTGTCAAATGAAAGGAACACACAGGAAAGTAGCTTCTTTCTTCCCAGATACAGCCTTTAATTTTAATTAAGATATTTGAAAGCCCAGGATAATGCATTCTGTAGACCCTCAGAACTGTTGTTAATTCAGACATTTGAAAGCCCAGGACAATGCATTCTGTAGACCCTCAGAACTGTTGTTAATTGAGACATTTGAAAGCCCAGGACAATGCATTCTGTAGACCCTCAGGACTGTTGTTAATTGAGACATCTGAAAGCCCAGGACAATGCATTCTGCAGACCCTCAGGACTGTTGGGCACAGTAGTCACAGATGGGTACACTATTATATTCCGAAGCATCATCTGATGTTCTACCAAGATGTCATTTCAGAAATTGGCCACATGCTTTATTTAATATGAATTGAACTTAGGACAGTCTTAAAATCAATGTTGCTTTAAAGACATAAAAGTCCTCGATGAACTTGCAGGGTTTAATTTTGCATGTTGTGGCTACCTTTGTTACAACCAACACTCTTATTTTTTTTCTTTTACATTTAACAGACCCTCTAGTCACCCTAGTGGTTCTTCCATTTTGATTCCTCCACTCTGTTCCCCCCAGCCCCCACCGCCGAGACAGGGTTTCTCTGTGTAGCTTTGCGCCTGTCCTGGATCTTGCTCTGTAGACCAGGCTGGCCTCGAACTCACAAAGATCCGCCTGGCTCTGCCTCCCAAGTGCTGGGATTAAAGGCGTGCGTCACCACCGCCTGGCTGATTCCTCCACTCTGTTCATTTTATGTTTTCTTTGACTTCATATTCTGCCTTCTTCCCCCTTTTCTGAGACGGTGTGCAAGTGTCTGAGTGTTCTCCTGTTCCTGCTGCCCATCTCCTGTAAGTGTGCAGGTTAGCATGGGTGAGGACTGGGATCTGAGTCCAGGGCCTGGGGCCTGCTGAGCTGCACCTGCCCCCTACACCTCTTTAAAACAAAACAAAACAAGAAACACCTTCTTAGACTTGACCTTTTATGATCTACCTCATTTCTCTCACCAATCACAGGTGGGCTTATAATTATTTCATTGCTTATTGTCTGACTTGACTCTATTTCTTCACCTCACGTTATTTCTCTGACTCAAGTTAGGCTTCAGTTTCTGTTATTTCACTCAAAACGCTCTCAAGTGTTTTCATCAGATAGTATGTCTCAGTAATTATCATGTCAATAAAGTATTGGCTTAATTTAGGAAAGGTGTCAACTATTCCTAAATTGTTTTAAAGCCAAAGATGATGATTGTTAGCACTTTTGATGTGGATGATAGTACTGGTTGTTTTTGTTGTTTTGTTTTGTTTTTTGTTTTGTTTTGTTTTTTGTTTTTTGAGACAGGTGTCTTTGTATAGCCCTGGCTGTCCTGGAACTAGCTCTGTAGACAAGGCTAGCCTTGAACTCACAGAGATCCACCTGCCTCTGCCTCCCAAGTTCTGGGATTAAAGGCGTGCGCCGCCTGACTAGATAGTACCATTTAGTGGAGTTGTTTATAGTTTGTTTGAGACAAGGTCTCATGAGGCTGTGTAGCTGAGAAGACCTTTGAACTTTGATCATCCTGCTTCTGTCTGCCAAGTGCTAGGATTGCAAGTGAGTGCCACCATTTCTGATTTCTATTAAGAACTTCAGCAATATTAGCATAATATAGATGCTTAGAATTAAAGATTATTTTGGTTTTGAGGTTTTTGTTTGGTTGGTTGGTTGGTTTTGGGCAGCTCTAGCAGTCCTAGAACACGATTTGTAGACCAGAATGGTCTCAAACTCATAGAAATCCTCCTGCCTCTGCCTTCTGAGTGCCAGGATGAAAGGCATGTGCCACCACCACTTCCAGAATTGAAAGTTTTAATAGACAGCAATGGCAGGTTTTTAGTAATCTCATTTTGTAGTTGTATTTGATTAAAAGCAACAGGATTACCAGTACGTACCATGTTTAAAAATAAGAGTCAAGCTGGGCAATGATGGTGCCTGCCTTTAATCCCAGCACTTGAGAGGCAGAGGCCAGTGAGTCTCTGTGAGTTTAAGGCCAGCCTGGTCTACAAAGCAAGGTCGGGGTAGGGTGGGGGAGCTCAGTTTCTCCTCAATATTTGTAGATAGTTAAAGTCAGCCAGGTGTGTACAGTCTATAGTTAGTAGGAGCAGAACCATTTTAAATGAGCAGTAGATGGAGCTGCTCATTTTATTCAGGTTTAACATCATGAGGTCTCGCAAGTCATTTCATGTGGTAATACAAGAATAATTAGCCAATTAAGCATTGAAACACACACACACACACACACACACACACACACACACACACACACACACATATATATTTTTTTCCCCTTTCAAATTTATGTGTTTGGTCCTAAGGCCCGGGGAGTCTGTTTATCTCCCCTCCCCCATACATGCTCTGCTCACCTTCTGTGTGAGGGCTGGGCATCTGAACTCAGTCCTCTTGCTTGTGTGACAGGACCTTTGCCCACTGAGCCATCTTCCTAGCCCTGAAACCTTTTAAACAAATATAATTAGTGAGATCTTAAATCTGGTTTTACTTCCCTTGTATGTATTTAAAATACTATATTAGCTAGAATTTTGGATGCCCATATCATGTGTTTCATAAAATTTCTTCATCTAATAATGGTATATAATTTAAGTCATGACTTTACTTGAAATTTGAAGTTATTTAATCAAGAAGAAATTTCTTCAAATGGAAGATGGGCTACTGAGATGACTCAGTAGATAAAGGCACTTGCTACAACCTGAGTTGATCCCTAGAACTCACACGATAGAGGGAAAGAACTAGATCCACAAAGTTGTTCTACAACTTCCATACATGTACCATGGCGTTTAAGTACCCACACATACATATATACTTACATCAATGTAAAAGAAAAAATAGAGACTAGAAGGTCTTGGTAAGGACAGGAAAACTCGTCAAATATAAATATAGTACACTGGCAAACAGACTACTTATCTAATAAATTTAGTAGCACAGTACATCAAAAAGTATAGTAATGGTATTTGGTACTAAAATATTTAGAGTTAGAGGTATGGTCAGTTTAATATATAGTCTATTAAGGCTTTGTTGAGTTAGCTCATATATGGAGGAATTAATTTTAAGAAGAATTTATTTTTTAAATATTATAAAGGTACATTCGCTTTTTTAAGAAATACAGTTATAGCTCAAGCAATGGAAATAATACGGCTCTGTTTCTCTTTTAGCTCCTGGAGCCTGTCTGCCACCAACTGTTTGAGCTCTATCGCAGCTCTGAAGTCCGACTGAAGAGGTTCACACTGCAGTTCTTGCCTGAGTTGATGTGGGTTTATTTGCGACTCACAGTCAGCAGAGACAGACAGAGCAATGGCTGCATCGAAGCGCTCCTCCTAGGAATTTATAATTTGGTGAGTTGAAAGTGAGAGTTCAGGAAATTGAATATATTTTTTAAATTCTCTGAAATATTTGAAGATTGTTAGAGAAAAATAAATTGAAATATGTATTGAATAATTTTTGAGATGAATATAAACATTTGTAACAAGTATTTTTATAAGATTGTTGAAGATGTAATTGATAACATTGTTAACGCAGATGACTTACTTCAAAGCATGTTTTGGAGCCAGTGTTTATAAATCCCTTTTATAAGAAACAAATTGGATACTGAAATGAGCTACCTGCTTTTAGGGCAACTTCTCTACTTCCGAAGTCATATTCATAGATGACTAATAATGCAGAATGTGTATAGAAAAGGGTATGAGAAATTAAAATATTAGCCAAAGTGTAGTGACTATACTTTCCTGAGGAAATAGTATCTGAAAAGTATACTTTTGATCCCTTTTGATTAGGAATAGGTGAGATTTTAGGAAAAAGTCATTGTTTTAGGGTGTCTATTGCTGTGATAAAACACCATGACTAAAAGCAACTTGGGAAGCAAAGTTTATTTCACCTTACAGAATGTTTATATTCCGTCATCTAGGGAGTCAGGGCAGGAACTCGAGGCAGGAACGATTGAAGCATCCATGGAGGGGAGCTGCTTACTGACTTGCTCCTCAGGGCTTGCTCAGCCTGCTTCCTTACACATGTAAGGACCGCTGGCCCAAGGGTGGCACCACCTAGGCTGGGCTGGGCTGGCCCTCCCACATCAATCATTGATCAGGAAAGTGTCCCACATGTTTGCTCACAGGCCGGTCTGATGGGGACATTTTCTCAGTTAAGGTTCCTTCTTCCCAGATGACTCTAGCTTGTGTCAAAGTGACCAAACTAGCCAGCCCGGTAATCAAATGAGCATAACAGAAGGAAAATCCAGTTGTGCCCATGCAGATGAAAAGCTCAGAGCATACGTACAAGCTGAGAGAGGCGCTTTCATCTTAGCTCCAGTGTTGCTGGGCTTTGGTTTCTGTCATTTTGTTTTTCTCCCTGTGTAGCTTAGGTGACCTCAGACATAGTATGTAGTGGAGGCTGGCCTTGAACTCTTCGCTTGATCTTAGGCCAAAAGGCCTCATTCTTCATTCTTATTTTTTTTTTTTTTTTAATTTTTCGAGACAGGGTTTCTTTGTGTAGCCTTGGCTGCTTCTACCAGGGTGGAAAGAACAGACCACAACTGACCAGGCACGGCAATTTATATAGGATTTCTTGGGAGTGGAATTTCTCCAGGGAGAAGATTTTCTGTCCAGGGATTAGTTAGTTTTTTTCTACTCAGGGATTGGTTAGTTTCAGTGGTCAGGAGCAGATTTCAGAGCCAAATTGTGTTTCTTTCTCTGGCCTTTCTTAGCTTTTTGGCTCTAAGGCCAGGGTATATTTCTTTCACTGGCTCTGATTCTAGGGACAAAGTGTCTCTTTGGCACTGGTTTCAAAGTCAGGGTATGTTGCCATGGTCCTGGGTTCAGGAATAAAGTGATTCTGTCACTGGCTCGGGTCCCAGATATAGGCTGTGTTCTTTCACCTCTTCCGGCTCCAGGGTCTCTTTAGCTGCCCCCTTGACAGCTGAATAGTATTTCATTGGATAAATGTACCCCTTTTTCATTATCCATTCCTTAGTTGGTGACATCTAGGCTGTTTCCAATTTATGGATATTATGAGTAGAGAGCAGCAGTGAACATGGATGAGCAGGTATCTCTGTAGTAAGGTATAGAATCCTTTGTATATATGCCTAAGAGTGGTGTAGCTAGATCTTGTGGTAGATCAGTTTTTAAATGAGACCTCATAAAACTTAAAAGTTTTGGAAAAGCTAACCTGGTTGTTTTTGAGACAGGGTCTCATTGTGTGGCTCTCACTGGCCTTGAATTGACTATGTAGACAGGATGGTCTCAACCTCACAGGAATCCACCTGCCTTGGGCAAAGTGCTGGGGTTCAAAGGGTATGCTACCATGCCCAGGTGTTTGGGACTTTTTGTTGTTGTTGTTTTGATTTTGTTTTTTGAGACAGGATCTCTGTCTGGTCTGGCTTCAAACTTTTTGTGTCTGAATCTGACCTGTTCTCTGAACCTCCTTCCTCTGCCACCCAAGTACCAGGTTTACAGGTTCGCAGCAATGTAGCCAGCTCCTTCATCACTGACTCTCTACTGTAGTAGGTCTAGTGAGAGCCACTGTCTGTGGATCTTATGCCAGTTGCATGTTCCTTAGAACAAGCAGAAGGCAGTGAGCTGAGATGTGACAGCAGTTCACGCCTTGTGCTGGAGTCTGGAGACGATCATTAGTGAGACCTAAAGACCAGAGATCACACACACACACACACACACACACACACACACACACACACACACACACACACACACACGAGGAAGGACGGATGGCAATGTACTTTGTCTGTTTGGTCCTGCCTGCAGATTTGAGGCCTCCCCAGTGTGCGCCGCCACTGCCCAGATTTTGTGTTTTTAGAAAAACACTTGAAAAAACTTGTAGCCAGGTGTGGTAGCACACAGTTTGAATCCCAGCACTTGGGAGGTAGTCAGCCTGCTTCAGGACAGCTAGGGGGCTACACAGAGAAACTCTGTCTCTCAAAAATCTTTTTTTTTCTTCTTTTTTCTTTTTTTTTTAATCCTGGCATGATTGGACATGGACGGCCTGGGAATTAAACTTGGGTCCTCTGGAACATCAGTCAGTACTCTTAACCACTGAGCCATCTCTCTCTGTTTAAAAAGTCTTTTAAAATTACGAAAAACTGTATATGGTGACTCATATCTTCAATCCCAGCTTCAGGAGTCTAAAGCAAGATTTTCAGTTCCAGGCCAGACTGAACAATATAACAAATCAGGCTGTAGTAGTACATGAGACCCTTTCTCAGAAAAAAAAAAAAAAAGAAAAAAGAAAAAACGAGAGAGAGAGAGAGAGAGAGAGAGAGAGAGAGAGAGAGAGAGAGAGAGAGAGAACGAACCCAGGTATAGTAGCACATACTTCTGATCCTACTACTCAGCAAACTGAAGTGCAGATGTGAGGCCAGCCAGGACTATCCATTGCATTCCAGGACACCCTGCGCTACTGAGTGAAACCTTGTCTCAAACAAGAACACGAAGGAATTTTCGTACAGTTCAGTAGAAATTATCTAAATATATCTATTTCTTAAACATTTACACTAATAGTGTCAATATGTGACTTATTACAGTTTGGTAGTTTATTGCTGAGGGATTATAAATTTCTTTTAATCAAGATTCCTTCTTCAAATGTTCTCACCATAAAAATGGTAACTGCAGTACTGGATATTTGAATAAGTTTGTTTATGTACTCATTTCACAATGAAATGTATCAAAACTTCAAGTACACTAGAAATATCTGTAAATTCTGTCAGTTATGGCTCAGGAAAGCTGGCAAACAATTCATTTGTGTTATGATAATGTGCTCTCGTGTTAGTTAAGTGTGGGTCTCTCGGTTTGAGTTATGCTTTGCTCACCCATGTTTCTACTAAAAGATCTGATCAGTATTTGCCCTCAGCATCTAATCACTTTTACTCTTCCTGTTCTCTGTACACCTCATGTTGCCTTTGCTGTCATGTTGGATTTGATGTAGTGTGATCTATGCTCAGTATCTCTGGGTAACAGCTCTGCCATAAACATGTATCAGTTTGCTAATAAATTTGAAAGAGTCTGATACAGTAATAGCATTTCTATGTACTATTGTTTCTCAAACTCACTAGTATGTTCTGTGAGTTAAGGAAGTAATTATTATGTATGTTGCTATAGACTTAGTGTGACATTGTGTCTGTACATTTTCTTCTGTAGGAAATTGCTGATAAAGATGGAAACAATAAAGTGCTGTCTTTCACTATCCCTTCCTTATCCAAGCCTTCAATATACCATGAAGTAAGTAACGTGGGGTACATGGAATGTTTCAAATTATGTTGAGAAAAAGAAAAAATTTAATTTTGTCAGAGGTAAATATCATGAGTACTTTTTTGTTTTGTTTCTGTTTTAGAAACATGACCCCTGTAGCCCAGGCAGGCCCCAAACTCACCAGGTGGTCAAGGATGACCTTACACTCCTAAACCTGCTTCTGTCTTTCAAGTGAAACGACTATACCACCATGCAGGGTCCTAATACATAGTCTTGTCTTTTGGGTTGTGAGCTGGGCTGGCTCAGTGGTTAGGACACTGACTGTTCCTCTGGAGGACCCCTGTTCAGTCCCCAGCACCCACATGGTGGGTCACAACCACCTGTAAGCCCTGACGCCCTCTTCTGGCCGCCCTGGGCACCAGACGTGCATCTGATGCACAGACCCACACACAGGCGGGACACTGCTGCACGTTTAACGATGGAGGGAAGGTAGGCATCGGGCCTGCAGGAGACTTGGCAGATGGAGATGCCAGCCAGCAACCCTGACAACCTGGCTTAGTCCCTGGGACTGGTAGAGTGGAAAGAGGACTGACTCCCACAGATTGCCCTCACACTTCCACGTGTGCACACACTCGCAGTAGATAATTTAACTATTGAAATGGAGTACATTTTTTAATTTATTTTTATTTCATGTGTATTGGTGTTTCGCCTGCATGTGTGTCTGTGGGAGGGTGTCAGATCTTAGAGTCACAGACAGCTGTGAGCTGCCATGTGGTTTCGGGGAATTGAGCTCAGGTCCTCTGGAAGAGCAGCCGGTGCTCTTAACCACTGAGCATCTCTCCAGCTGTTGTGGTGTACATTTTTTAGAGTGGATGTTATGTGTGGTGTCCAATTTTGTCAAGGGAGTTAATATTTAATGGAAATTTTGCCTCTAGTTTTTGTTTATTCATATATTTTCCCTCATCAGTATTATTTTCAGCTTTATTTTTCTTTGAGGTGGGGGATGGGTTTCCAAGACAAGATTTTCTGGCTCTCCTGAAACTCGCTCTGTAGACCAGGCTGGCCTTGAACTCACAGAGATCCACCTGCCTCTGCCTCCCCCCGAGTGGTGGGATTGAAGGTGTGTGCTACCACCACTACCTGGCTCATTTTTAACTTTTTAAATCAGTTTTTAAAATGAATTTTCAAAGAATTTTTTTTCATATTGTTTGCTGATTATCTTTGTTAAATTGTGTAATGGGAAGTTTCTCGGTTCTGCCTGGCCCCACGGTCCCATAGCTGTTTATAAAATAATCACTCGGGCTGGAGAGATGGCTCAGAGGTTAAGGTCACCCACTGCTCTTCCAGAGGTCCTGAATTCAATTCCCAGCACCCACATGGTGGCTCACAACCATCTGTAATGAGATCTGGCACCCTCTTCCGTATACATAATAAATAAATAAATAAATCTTTAAAAAAAATAATAATAATCACTCAGAGGCTTATATTAATTACAAACTGTATGGCCTATGGCTTCAACTTCTTGCTAGCTAGCTTTTTTATATCTTAAATTAACCCATTCCTATTAATCTATATGTTGCCACATGGCCATGGCATTACTGGTCTGCTGGTATCTTGTTGCTCCTTTGGTGGCGGGCGGGCTGGTGTCTCTCCCGACTCTGCCCTTCTCTCTCTATCTCTGCTTGGATTTCCCACCTGGCTGTAAGCTTTCTTTCTTTATTATCCAATAGGAGCCACACACATTCACAGCATACAGAAAGACGTCCCACAGCAAGACTGAATCATTTTTGTTATTCTTTAGGAAAGTAATTACTCAGAAGGATGTTGATGCTCCATTATTCTTCAGTATAAAAGAGTCTAATTGCACATTCTAGCTGTTAGGAACATATTTGTTTTGCTTATGTTTATTCTGTTGAAGAATATGAGCACACTGGTGATTATTTAGGTAAATGTTGCTGTTGAGCTGAGCTTTCTTTTTTTTTTTTT